AGGTGCACCATGGCGCAAAACAATGTCGTGGACAAAGAATCTGGCGACTTCAACTGCAGTTTCCTTAGGCACAGCTTTGGTTTCTGCATAGCGAGTCAGATAGTCGGTCGCGACAATTATCCACTTATTTTCTGAGGATGACGTAGGGAAGGGACCAAGAAGATCCATTCCTACTTGCTGAAATGGTGCTCGAGGTGGATCTAAAGGTTGGAGGAAACCGGCGGGCTTTGCGGGTGGAACTTTACGCCTCTGACAGTCACGGCAGGTGCGGACATAGCGCTGAACGGACGAATACAGCTGTGGCCAGTAGTACTTCTGTCGGATGCGCGCTAATGTCCTAGCAAAGCCTAAGTGACCGGCCGAAGGATCGTCGTGGCACACCTGCAAAACTTCCTCACGCAGTGCCATTGGAACGGCGAGGAGGAAAGTTTCCTGGCTGCTCTCAAGATTTCTCTTGTAGAGAACATTGTTTCGCAGACAATATGTAGTCAAACCACGCGAGAGTCGGCGTGGGACGATAACGTTTTCTCCTTGAAAATGCTGGATGACAGGAAGTAGCTCAGTGTCCTCACGTTGAAGCTCAGCCATCCGCACCACATCGATGATGCCAAGAAATGGTAAATCTTGTTCAGCGTCAGATGACGTCGGGGAAATAGGAGCACGAGACAGGCAGTCAGCATCTGTATGCTTATGTCCTGATCGGTAGACCACCGTTATGTCGTGCTCTTGAAGGCGGAGGCTCCAGCGCGCGAGGCGGCCTGATGGATCCCGTAGATTGGCAAGCCAACAGAGTGAATGGTGGTCACTGACCGCTCGAAATGGCCGGCCGCATAGGTAGGGTCGAAACTTGCTGATGGCCCAAACGACTGCTAGGCACTCTTTTTCGGTGGTAGAGTAATTAGCCTCTGCTTTTGTGAGACTGCGGCTCGCGTAAGCGATCACACGCTCTGCGCCGTTCTGCCATTGAACTAGAATGGCTCCGATTCCCACGTTGCTGGCGTCTGTGTGGATCTCGGTGTCGGCAGTGTCGTCGAAATGTGCCAGCACTGGAGCTGTCTGCAGTCGATTGCGCAGCTCTATGAAGGCTTGTTGTTGTTCTTCCATCCATACGAAAGGCACATCTGGCCGTGTCAGTCTTGTAAGAGGTTCCGCAATTTTTGAAAATCCTTCGACAAAACGGCGGTAGTACGCACAAAGTCCGAGGAATCGCTGAACAGCCTTTTTGTCTCCAGGACGAGGGAAATCGGCAACGGCAGCCAACTTCTCCGGATCTGGTCGAACACCCCCCGGGCTAACCACGTGGCCGAGAAACGTGAGTTCCTGATAGCCGAAGTAGCACTTGTCGGGCTTGATAGTAAGGTTCGCTCTCCTTATTGCAGTGAGGACACTTTTTAGCCTTGAAAGATGCTCGTCAAATGTGGTTGAAAACACAACGACATCATCCAAGTATACAAGACACGTCTGCCACTTTAGTCCAGCTAGTACAGTATCCATCATGCGTTGAAACGTGGCGGGAGCGGAACAGAGACCGAAAGGCAGCACTTGATTCGTAGAGCCCGTCAGGCGTCACAAACGCGGTTTTCTCACGGTCGCCCTCGTAAACTTCGATTTGCCAGTACCCTGACTTGAGATCTAGTGGTGTAAAGGATACATTTTGTATGATTCTCCAGCAACCGGTAGAACTTAGCCAAACCTATTCAACATTACCTAATGTATAAAGAACTGGGCGTGGCGTAGACGGTCTAAGGCGTCATCAATCCGTGGCAGGGGGTAAAACGTCGCGTTTCGTGACTTTGTTGAGCCGTCGATAGTCCACGCAGAAGCGTAGTGTGTAGTCTTTTTTCTTTACTAAGACAACAGGTGATGCCCACGGACTTGTCGAGGGTTGGATGACGTCATCATTCAGCATTTCTTGAACTTGACGCTTAATCACCTCTCTTTCCTTCGGGGACACACGGTATGGATGTTGGCGAAGAGGCCGCACCGACTCCTCGGTAACAATGCGGTGTTTTGTAACGGTGGTACGCTGAACTTTCAATGCTGTGTAGAAGCAGTCCGAGAATTCCCTCACAAGGTTTAGCAGCCGCTCTTTTCAAGAATCTGGCAAGTCTGGATTAACGTGAATGCGGCTTCCCAGGTCAGCACAAGCTTTTGCATGCGGTGAAGTCGTATCCAATGTGTCGATATCGAAAAAGTCTGCGATTTCACTGAGGAAAGCGACAGCAGTCCCTCTAGGAACGTGCTGAAACTCATTGCTGAAGTTGGTCATCAGAACTCGAGAGCGTTTATTCTCTAACCGAACAAGGCATCGGGCTATGCATATGTTTCGTTTGAGCAGCAGCGGGATATTTGCCTCTGCAATATCTTTATAGTCGTTGAATTCGTCAAAAACGTCGCAGGCTACCAAGGTGAACACGCTACTCTTCAGCGGTAACGAGACCTCATCGTCAACAATTCTCAAAGCATTGACGTAACTGCCGTGAGGGTTGCGTGCTAAAGCGTGTGCCGTAGAAAACGTCACTTGCGACTGTTGCAAATCAATCACGGCTCCATTATCACGCAGAAAGTCCAGTCCGAGAATTAGGTCCCTCGAGCAACTCGGCAGTATTACAAAATCTCCGAGATACGTAAATCCGTGAATACTGACTCGCGCTGTGCACCGCCCCACCGGAGTAAGAAGATGGCCTCCTGCCGTACGTATCTGCGACCCAGCCCACTGGGTAGAAACCTTCTTCAGTCTGCAGGCAAGAGCCATGCTCATAACAGAAGTGTCTGCTCCAGTGTCAATTAGCGCCATTACTTCTTCGTCGTCCACAGTTACCGCAATGTTTGATGTCACCACTCTTCGCATCACGTTTGACTGCGTCTGTACATCTTTTTGCTGCTGTCGCTGTCGTCGTAATGGAGGATCTTCCGTAGAGTCAGCGTCAGCGGCCTCACCTCTGGAGGTCGCTGAACTCAGTTTTCCTGACTTGCAGGACTGGGTGAACAGCGTCTTGGAGCGCCGCGTGAATAGGCTCGGCTCGGTGACCTGTAGCGAGCAGGCGACGACGAGCGAGGCTCTTGTGACCGATGTTCGATACTGCGACGATTCGAGATGAAACTCTGTGTTTCCTGCGGTCGCTCGCCAGGTCGTGGACGAGGGGCATTAGGCGAAAATCCACGGAGACCCACACGACGGTATGGACATGTTCGGTAGACGTGTCCGGCTTCCCCGCAGTGGAAACAAAGGGGCCCGTGGTCGGGTGTACGCCAGACGTCACTCTTTCTCGGTCTTGCTTCGGCGATCAACGGTGAGCTGCGAGGGCGGAAGCCTACCTCCATTTGCTGAGCGTGTCGCTCATTGGGGTAAAACACGCTGGTTGAACTGCACGATGGAGGACGTCGCACTGCTTCCGCGTAGCTCATCTCGACGCAGTGCCTCTGTTGTGGCGCCTCGGATGGTTGGGGAGCGTGAACGGCTTGCCGTAGCTCGGCGCGTACCATCTCCGCAATGGAGAGCTGCTCTGCAGGTGAAGCAGTCACCTGCATCTTTTGTAGCTCTTCCTTAATGAGAGCTCTGATAAGCTCTCGCAACGCGCTGATGTCATTGCCGAGAGTGACAGAAGTGACCTCACTTGGGTTTACACCACGGTTATACTGCCTGGCACGCTGTTGAAGGGCCCTCTCCATGGCAGTGGCTTCCTCATGGAACTCCGCAAGTGTCGCAGGCGAGTTTCGAATCAGGCCAGCAAAAATCTCTTCTTTAACGCCACGCATTAGGTGGCGAACTTTCTTGGATTCGGACATAGAGGGCTCCGCACGCTTGAAAAGCCGATCCATGTCCTCTACGTAGGTCGTCACCCTTTCGTTAGGGCCTTGAACCCTTGCCTCTATAGCACGCTCCGCTGTCTCTTTCCTGTCCTCTCGGGCAAATGCCTTGAGGAACTGCCGTTGAAACTCATCCCATGACGTAAGCGCTGCTTCATGGTTCTCAAACCACGTTTTCGCGGAGTTCTCCAGGAAGCAGTACACATAGCGTAGCTTACGCTCTGGGGTCCAATCATTGATGACGGCGGCCCGGTTGAAATGCTCGAGCCAGTCGTCAGCATCTTCAAAAGCAGCTCCGTGAAATGTCTTCGGCGTCTTGGGCTGGTTGATAACCAGGTGCGCTGGTGCTGGCGCGGTGACGTTAGGTGGTGTTTGATTCATAGTCCTCTGACGTTCAGGCAGCAAACCGTGCTATGGCTCGAGTCCCTGGAGACGACGGCTGGAACGTACGTGCACACGGGTAAGCTCGGCTGAGATACTCGATGGGCTTGCGTCAGGGGTGCTCTCAGGAGACCGTATCATCTACCGTACCCCGCACCTCCACCAGAAAATGTCACAAAGACACAGGCACGCAAGTACAAAATAGGGCGTTTTTCTTTTGTAACCCAAGGGCCAGAAACGCGAACACCAGAGCACGCGCACAGAGAACTACTTCGTTGCCCTCTTCAGAGGCTGGCTACTATAGTTGCCAGCCTACCTTGCGTCAATATTTCCACATGCCGTGCCAAGGTTCGCGGCTGGAACCATCAAGAGACAGCTGTTACGTCATTTACGCAGGGTAGGTTACAGTCGACTGAGATAAGCATTGAACTTTTGATAGGCCCATCGCATGAGGCAGAGCAATATCTGATGACACGTATGCGCATGTCTTGTGACTAAACGGTGCTTAAACACTGGCAGCACACAACCTGCAGGTTGTCTTTTTTTGCACGGAGCATCAGCAGAAGCTGTGCACGTACATACCGCTCTTGTTTGGTTTGTTTTCTTCGTTTCTTGTGTGAGGCACAAGTTTGCCTCATTAATAATAAAGCTTGTTTTCTGTGAATACCAGTGACAAAGACGCCTCGTGACAATATACAGATAACAGGATTAAGATTGTACCAAGGCAGTGCATTTGGAATTGAGTCAAGACAACTGGTCCTAATGCAAACAATGGCCTGTCAACTTAATAACCAAAGCCACTGACTCACCCCTGGGCGGGCTCCGTTTGGCAGTAGCCGGTTCGGGAGTAGAAGGAGGACTTGGCATAGGACTTCGGCTACGAGTGAAGTTCCGAGGCAGAGGTCCAGGCCGCCGTTTAGCCCTAGGTCCCCCAGGAGCCTCGGCTGCAGGTCGCTTGTGCCCTCGTGCTTGGCTAGCAGCTGGGTCCAAGTCGGCTTCATCCACCATCATGCGCTGCAGCAAGCAGAGTTTCATGCATCACACGAGGAACAGTGGGCAGCTTTCCGAAACCCCAGGCCAGCACAAGTTTTACATCAGAAAGAGGCTTTTGCTCTGCAGTGATGTCAGCTGACGAAAACAATTTACAGCAAAGGCATCATTTTTGACGCTTGCGTGCACACATACTAATTTTTATTGAATAAGCATTCAGGTATGTACTAAGATAATTTAATCGATTGATTGATTTGTAGGTTTTAACGTCTCAAAACCACAATATGATTATGAGAGACGCCATAGTGGAGGGCTCCGGAAATTTTGACCACCTGAAGTACTTTAACGTGCACCAAAATCTGAGCACACGGGCCTACAACATTTCCGCCTCCATCGGAAATGCAGCCGCCACAGCCGGGATTCGATCCCGCGACCTGCGATCAGCAGCCGAGTTCCTCAGCCACTAGACCACTGTGGCGGGGCACTAAAATATTTTAATAAAATAAAGTGCTAGGCTGGTTGCTAAATGTTCATAGCCAACATCTTTCTCTCAATGTATAAAATGCTACTTGTACCAAATATTTTTGACGTGTGTCTTGCAGAACTGCAAATTTTGAGTATGCCAAAATCGTGCACACTAAAACATGAAATTTTTTATGAATACAATAAAACATTTGCGACATCATGGCAAACTTTTTTTAACTTGTTTCAACAATAGAGAAGCCGTGGCTATACATATCTGCTTCTTGCAGCACAGCAGCTGGAGTACTCATGGCCATAGTGAAAGCTGCTATCCCACCTATTATATTGCTGTTATAGCTGAACCTTCTTTCTTTAAACAACACACTAAACCCACAAAGCACACTAAATATAAAAAAGGCCCCACAATGTTTAACAGTTCGTTGCGGCAATGATGACATACCAGCTGTAAAAGAGCAAAAAACAAAACTTTGCTGTCGTTATCAGTTTCTGTGTTAGAAGAGTTGGCAGCGCAACAGTGGTTATAGCTTAAAGTCACCATTCATCATTTGCGTGCCTATGTATCGGGTGAGGTGCGATTGTTATTCATGTGTCCATGTCAAGCGCACGACGCAGTATAGGCAATGCCAATCCGCCTTTTCCATTTTCCTATACTGCCCTCTGGCGTTTTGGTAGGGTTTGGCAGAGGCTGGGAGGACTGGCATTGCGCCAAGACCAGACGTCATTTCGCGACTCCTCTGCTAGGGAAGGGTGCATGCACCGCGGCATAGTAGAAGAGGTGGATTATACGTTAACGATGTCGTGCAAAAGTATTCAGAGGCCAATGGCAGCCACTCAGCGATGTTGCCAACCAAAGTAACAGAATGCTTGGGCTGTCTGCCAGACGACGAGGCCTTCCATGGCTTTGGGTGAGAGCAATAAGTTTTGGTTTTCCATGCTTGAGAGGAACATTAGTTCCAAGCTTCATATAGCAAGAATGTCTGAGTCCTAGTTATTATACATAGGAACATTCAGGGTCCATGAGTATGGCATTCTGCTATGATTATACATGTACGTGCAGTTGCTTGTAATTACGTTGACTAGTAATGAAAAAAAGATGGTCCTCAAGCAAAGGTACATCTTATTCACCAGCATTCACCACAATAGTCCAAAAAATAGGCAGTTTAGAATAGGGTTCGTAGCGTTAGCATCGCTTGGGTATGCATACTATGATCGAAATAATAACGTGCATACCCAAGTGGATAGTGCATGACACATGCAGCAACAGCAAGGAACATTAATAGAAAGCTTTGTCTTGCAATCATAAAACTACCTAATAGTGGCTGTGCCCTATACACTGGAAAATTCAGAAGAATCAAAGCACAGAAACGAGGCAGTACAAGAGAGAAAGCTAGGAAGGTGCTCACCTGAGCATCTGTGCAGTTGTCTGTTTGCATTTTAATTATATATATTGTATAGAAGCGACAAATGCGATTGGACAGCAGCCACAAAAGGACCAACCTTTTCAATCTTGAATGGGTTGCCAAACATGTGCTGCCGTACAGGTGTAGATTCAATTTCTCGCAATGGTGTGGGCATCCGCTTAAGATATTCCTGGTAGTTACCCATTTGGCTCACAGGAAGGTTGTGCAATTGTTCTGCATAAAAGGCACAGAAATACACAGTGAATAGGAAAACTTTATAAGAGTAAAGTTTGTGTACTTCGTAAGAAAAAAAATTTCATTGTAATATATTCCATGCCCGTAGACGTTACGGTACAGGTAAAACCTCGTTCATACATGCTTGAAATAAAAACGTTGACAAGAACGTATTATCCAGGAAACCAGGTGGTTAGACTTTACTAAACATAATACAGCCAGAATTGATGAAAAAAATATGGTGAATATTGGCATCTTTATATTGTACACTACTGAAATACATCAACGAGGTTATGCTGTATGTAGGAACAGTCATGCCGATTTCTCACACTTGTCTAACTACAGCCCAACAGCCATAAACACATTTGCAAAAAAAAAAAAAAAATAAACAACGCATAGCAATGTTTTTTTCTTTCTCTTTAGATGTACTAACCAGATAATTATATTGTATAGGTCTTCTAATAGTCATAAAAGAGGTTCACACGTCTTAATATTTTCTATCATTTGAAAGAAGAGCTTCACCAGTAAGAAGCCAATAAAATGTACAGCTGGAGAACCTCGATCTCACCAAGACTTTACAATGCGTTACATTTAGTCAAAAAGTAGCATTCAACTTCAGCCGCCTATTTGTTCAATGGTGCACTGCTTACGACAAGCCTCTGGTTGAGTAATTGGTCTTACCAGCATCTTGCAACCGTGTGATAGTGCCGGGGTGCAGATAGCGTGCCCGCATCCGTGCTACCTGGTGGAGTAGAGAGGCACGACTGATATCGAAAGGATTTCTCGGAGGTGCCTCAGCCGTGTCGGGGGGCCGTGGTGGTGCTGGTGCCAGCGCAAAGCCTGAGAAATCGCTGAGCTCTTGGCGCAAGCCTTGCAGGCGTTCGCGCAGAGCGGGATTCCAGCTGAGAGCCAGCTCGGACAGCTTCGTCACCTCACCCGTGGATGGCCGTGGAACTCCGGGGCTCACCCGCACACCTTCGGCACCCAGGCCTGTCTTGGGCCCACCCACTGCACTCACCACTTTCTCGTATTCGGCCTTCGCCTGCGTCACAGCCACAAGCACACATTCCCTTGCACATTTTAATTTTTTTTATTTTAGAAGGAACATATTCCTCAATACTGCACATGTTAAACAAAGAAACAACACTACACATCATCATCACCATCATTTATTGAACCCTTAAAGGCCCCATGCGGGGTATTACATAAGGGGCATAAGGGGTATTACACATGCCTACATGCTTTCTGTAAAAAGCATGTAGAGCTCTGTAGTGCGCTACACGAAGCCTGTCATTTCAGTATGAAGTACATCGAACAAACAGGCATAGATGCCTAAATAACAGACTTCGTAAACATCCTAACAGGTCACGAACTGTATCAGCCGGTCATCTCATTCAACATTGTAGGAGCTACGGCTGTACACCTTCACTTGGTAACTATATCGTCATCAGTACTGATTGATATTGATTGATTGATATGTGGAGTTTAACGTCCCAAAACCACCATATGATTATGAGAGACGCCGTAGTGGAGGGCTCCGGAAATTTCGACCACCTGGGGTTCTTTAACGTGCACCCAAATCTGAGCACACGAGCCTACAACATTTCCGCCTCCATCGGAAATGCAGCCGCCGCAGCCGGGCTTCGAACCCGTGACCTGCGGGTCAGCAGCCGAGTACCTTAGCCACTAGATCGTCGTCAGTACGAGCAACAGTAAGACAACGCGTGAGATTACCAAGACAGTTGAAGTCGCCAGGTTAGGAGCTTCTTGCATCAGTATGAAGGAAAGTAGTGTACATTTTAAGGGCTCGTTTTGCTTTGTTAGACACAATTTAATGAGATCTAACAGAGAATCGTGACAAGGACAGACCAGCTGATACAGTGGGACCTGTTAAGATGTTCATGAAGTCATTAGAGCCTCTCTTGATTTTTCAAAAAAAAAAAAATGTTTTTTAGAATAAAATGCAGTGGTGTAGCTTTACACATCACAATGCAAAGCATTTTGAATGGTTTGTTCATTTTCTCTCCCCTCCTCCTCCTGCATTATTGGCCCTGCCAGCAGCCTTTGCACATGCGTGAACTGGACAATGTATCTTCTTAGCTCAATGAACAGTCAGTTGAAAGTAGGAGCACCATCCTGTCTTCATTTTCTTTGGCTGTGTCCTTTTACATTTTGAGAGTTTCTGTGTTTTAGATTTCTTATATCAAACCAGCGCCCCATCATGTTAAGCATCATGATCACAAAAAAAAGAGGGGGTGGGTAATTTTGAATTGTTATACAGCAAACATTACTGGAGATGTTTTGGAAATCGTGAAATCAGACAATGGGTATGTCCTTTCCTTTGCCTTCGTAGTCGGTCTCTTCAACTACATAGTTTGCCGAGAGGAGAGCGAGCAATTTTTTAGCTGTCTACGAAACGAAATTATGAATTCCCTGTAGCATGCAGCGCAGAAATAGTTGGCTCACATGTTCACCGTAGTACTGACTACTGATCGGAAGGTTTTATATGTTGAAAAAGTGCTGCAGGGTTCCTTTAATGAAAAATTTCAGCCCTGTTAATACACAGAACCAAGGCAATATTGTTTACCTTCACATTAAGAATGTTAGGCTATCTTTTATCTTTAGCATAATCATACAATCAATTATTCAATAATCAACCTATAAAATAAGAATTAGTGTGAAAATGCCATTTAGAAGATAGACCATTGTGAAACATCCCCGAATAAGTTTTTTGTCACTACTTACATGCTACATGAATGCTTTAACCAAACCTAAAAGAAATCACATTTTCACTTTAAGAAGTGTGAAGAAATAGGTTCGTTGTCGCTACCCTACTGATGAAAGTAGTAGAAGCATGTGCCAGACTAAAAAGTTGGCACATGCCGCTCTCAATTCGCAACCGAAAGCTGCTCACCTGGTTCTTAAGGCGCTTGAGGTAGTTGAGCACAGTGTAACTGAGGCAATTCTCCATTGAGTCTGGCACCAAGGTTTGGTGCGCCCATACGCTGCAGGGCACGCTTCAGCGGCCCGGCGTAGTACAGTGGCATGCCCTTGAGGTAAGCATCAAACTGCAACTTCCACTCACGCTGGCGGCTTGCACCGATGCACACGAAACAGTTCATCCAGCAGTGGCAGCAGCACAGTGTAATTGTACGGAAGCACAAATAGGTTCACGCACGCCAGGCTCGAGCTGGCCTTGAGGTAGCCAAAGGCACTGCCACCCCTCTGAGGTGCCGCTCCAGCCACCGAAACTGCAAAGGCCACTGTAGGCTGCTTGCGCCCCAGGATGGCCTGGGTCAATGGCGACGGCTCCAGCTCGTACTTGTCAAATGGCAAGTTGTCCAGCAGAAGAGGTTCACTCGGTGAGCCGCTCACACGCACCTGAGTGAGGGAGACTAGCATTAGGCTGGAACCACTACCTACAAATCAAGAGGAAGAAATATGACCCACGGCAGAATAATGAACATGATGTGACAAGTACAAAATCAGCATAATCAATAATGCACTTTAATTCTTAATAGTATAGAAGGCTAACGCACTGTCTATGAAGGCAGCTTCTTTTTAGTGCATTAAAACCCAAGTAATAATAATATAATAATAATAATAATAATAATAATAATAATAATAATAATAATAATAATAATAATAATATAGCGAGGAAGAGAATGACGACGTCCAAGATAGTAGCAGAATTCTGCACAAGAAGCGTCTGAAATGCCTCGTCCTCGATGCCTTCAAGGATATGTTTTACTTTCTCCTCTTCACTCATGGAAGGATTGACACGAGAGGAAATGCTTGCTACATCCTCGATGTAGCTCGTATACGCCTCACCGGGCATTTGAGCATGCTAGAGCAGACATTGTTCAGCGTGCAGTTCCCATAAGGTCAGGCAGCCGAAGACGTCTGCGATCGTTTTCTTGAAATAGGACTAAGTGGGGATCTCACGCTTGTGATATTGAAACCAAGCTAGGTCCCGTCAGAAAGGTAGAAGATGACATGACGACACGGAGTTTCAACGGGTCATCACGGTTGTTAGTCCCACTGACACGCTCATAGGTCAAAAGCCATTCGTTCACGTCAGCTTCACCTGTTCTGCTGAAGATGGGAGTGTCACAGTACCGCTGAATGGCGCCGCTGGATCTTCCAGTTCCAGCGGCGGTATCGCGTTGGTGGTGGGCACTGTCAGTCATTGCAGCAGCTGAAGCAGCTTGCAATGTCCAGTTGTGCAGTTCCAGGGTGAGGGCAAAGATTGCAGCAGCCTCCACGAAATGTTGTGATGACAATTTATTGTGAACACAGTAACCATTGACAGTCAGGGTAGCGCCGATCTGAACAACACAGATCCTCATGCACAGCAACAACCACAATAAACTCGTCGCCTTCCTCTTCCTCACTACAATAATAATAATACCTTCTGGGGCTTTATATGACAAAACCAGGATACGATAATGAGGAACACTATATCTGAGGGCTAGCATGTTGCCTCCACTGAAATAGACCATCATGACAGGGATTAAACCAATGTCATTCAGGTCAGCAGCCAAGCTCCGGAACCTCTGTATCAATGGTACGGACAAACTAACCAACCATCTTGAAATACCTGCACAATTAAAGAATTGTTCTAAGATCTTGCTTCAGGCAGTCAGTATCATCAGCTCATTTTATGTCCACTGCAGAACGAAAGGCCTCTCTTGATGATCTCGAGTTTACCTCATCTTGTGGAGCTAATTCAATTTCCATATACTGTTGGGAAAACCTCTCTTGCCAAGTCTGATGAAACTCACCGAAACAACACTTGTACTTTAACACGGTACCGACACAAGATTTTGTGGCTGTAATGGCCTGGGGGTTGAATACTCCTGAACATGTGCATATCGTCTACCAAATATGAACAGTGAATGTAGTTTGGCAGGTAATTTATGTAAATTTTAAAGTTCACATGCACAATCCAGCACTATACGCAACACCTTGCCACAGTGACGTCGTGTAAGGTGACCTGAAGGTAACCCGTAACTTCTGAGACATCACTACTCTACTGCAGCTAAGCTGAGCCTTGTCCACCAGGTGTGAGGATGTCCTAGTCACCACCATATTTTTTCCACAATTCCGTCAGAAGGCTACTATTCAGCCACAGGCTCGCGAGTCCAGTGCCCACAGTAAACGTGCTGAAATCGTGGAAGCCTCAAGAAAGTTAGCCACTAGACCAGGATGATAGCAACAACGATGACAGCAGAGCCCATGTGGCAGGTTAAAAAAATGCCAGCAGACGATGCCAAGCAGCGCAGAATGTGTGTCACGGTTCTGAGAGCCGTTTTCACACACTAGACATCATTAGGTGCACCCAGGGACTTGTCATTCTCGAAGCTCTCCCAAACCAAAGCCGAGACTGGTCAGTAGCAAAGAGACTGAAATTAAAGGTCTGTCGTGCCAAACCAACAAACAATCTGTTGTGTTGCGGCTACTAGGCCACCAGCAACATTCTGCAGCAAAATAAAAAAGGCAAAGTGAAAGTTTTTCAAGTATGTACTCCTTTAACAGTTGTCTTCAAAGCATTAGTAGGCCTACTGAACAGAGCCGAGTTGACCTCACTCCATCACACAACTTTGCACTGTATCACTCATATGCTTGCTAGGCAACAACATAGCCAGCACTACTGCAAGTTATGCTGCCTCCTCAAGGTTACCTTGTTTATTATTTACTATGTAAGAGTTGGAGTATGACTTAGATTATTAGCTACCTGCAAAAGATGGTGAAATAACTGTCTAAGATGACATTCGGAACATATTCATTAAAATGAAATATAGTGAGGGGCTGTTCGCACATTACGTTACTCATTTCATCTGGTTGCACAGTCATTAAGTGCCCACGACGCCATAATCGTTTCTTTAGCGAATCAGTGAAGGACCTACTAAGTGTCCATAGGGCAACACCCAAACCTATGCAGCTATACACTTTGTTGATGGTTCCGCTGTTGATGATGATTAAATATGTAAAAAAATTATTAAATATGAAAAAACACATTTTTCTGTGTGCCAGCTCAATACTATATGTCTCACGCAAGCATGCCATGTATTGAACTGGCAAAAAAAATTTTCAATTTTTCGGTTGCAATCTAAAAGTGTTAACTATGGCACTCATCTGGTCAGATTATGTGCAACGAGTGTGACGGGTCCTCAAAAAATAGATTTCTAAGAAATGTAGCCTGTGTGTCTGTCAGTGCTTTTCTAGCACTTCAACCTTTCTGAAAAAAATTGCGCTATAACTGGGTAAATGACCGTTATGCCCATTAAAAGGGCCCTGCAACAATCTTTCTGGGTTATAATAAAATAGTCTCACCATGACACATCACAAATTGCATGCCGCAATAATGTTTCAGAATTCATCAACACGAGTAGAGTAACAGGTATTTGTTGCATGTTTTAAGCGCTTTCTCCTATCGTGCCAGTGAGTGCCCTAAAAGCAACACAGAGAGGAGGATGACAAGGGGACAAAAAGATGCGTCCCTTCATCAGCATGTGTGATCAACATACTGTGTGATCGTGAGCACACACTGCATATGGTGGCATCTCAATTCAGCCACCTGTTGTGAACGTGGGTATATGGCGCAGAAGCTTGGCTAATAAAATCATTTGCAGAGAAAAAAAAAGGGAGGGGGAGTGATTCCTAGCTGATTTTGAGAATTACTTGAAAATTCTAGGCTGCAAGCCACGTTGTAATGCTAGGCTCTCGTGTGCCTCGGGAGCCTCAAATACCGATGGGCAGAGTTTTCTAACCACGCTCAAAAAGTGCCCCTTTAAACATCCTTACATATTATATGCATGTGGATTAAATGGCAAGAATATGACTTTTCACTAAAGATAATTACAAAAAGAATGTCCACAGAATAAAATGAGTGCATGATACTTTTCCTCTAATTTTTTTTTTTTCATGAGCCCACCTGGGGATGTGCACTGCGTGGAGGAAGTGAAGGGGAGTTCAAGTCTGGCCAAAAGGCCTCTGGAAGAGGCCAGTGGCCAACTGAGTAGCCCTTCTGGGCTGAGCGTTGCACGTAGATGAGTCGACGACAGCTCTGCCAGTTGGGCTCCCAGACGTCCTCAGGCGGCACGCTCAAAGTTGATGACCACACCTCCCTGCACCTTGGCCACTAGGGCTTCCAAACTCTGCACTAGGAGCCGGTGCGAACTCACGCAGAAGGAACGACCTGTGAACGACAGATGTATCACTAGTAAGCCTCAAAAGTGAAATGAAAGTCCTTGGACTACATGTTTTGATGCCTCATGCAACTAATGCACCACATGTTTGAAGCCCATCTGGTCCAGAAAAAAGGACTCTGCTAGAAATCACACAGTGGATCCACACTAACCTCCCGTGACTTCACACATGTCATCGATGGGTGATGCGTCAGATGTAAGCGGCACATCCTGCGAGGGTGCTTGTGTCCCAGCCATTCTTAGTACAAGTGCAAACATGCGTTGGTCCCAGCGAAATGGTTCCTTTGTCAGCTCAGACCCAGGGACAGCCGAGTGCATTGGTAGCGTCAGCTGGAAAGGGTAAGGAACAAACTGCCATGCTGCTTGCCCAATAGGCATACATATGATATTTTTGACTAACAGGTACACCTTAGTAAAAAAAAAAAGCTATTAATACGAAAACTTGCACTTATTTTATGTCCAGCTGTTGAGGCGGCTAAATCTAATACTTATTGCACGAATGGACCGACACCTGACGAATGCACGGAAGCTATGACAGACCGAGCGAGTGCTGCCAAATGACTTCAGAGTTGTTCCCTGAATCTGAAGAAACGAGGGACGGAACGTCCTGCTGAAAGTCTAACCGACCAAAGGTTGGACACCACTGCAGAATTATAGAGCAACAAGATTGCAGCGGCTCGAGTACGGCTGTTGGTATCACTACAAGGATCCAGTTTGCCGCCATGCGGTCTTACAGGTGTCCGCAACAACACGGGAGACGTAACGTGAACTCACTTCTTCGTGGACGCCGGCGGAAGAGGTGAGTCGGTTGCCGTCCGTGATGACCACTAGCACGGACGGTTCAAGGTAGAAGGGGCATCGGCCCTGGCCGTACGTGTCAATGCCCGTCTGCATGCGGTTTATGTTGAGCAAATCGAAAGCATTCTTTAGCGCGGGACCCAACGTCGTCAGTCCAGAAGCTTGGAGGTTCTTCAGCTCGGCCATGAACGTCGCGTGGTTCTCCTTCCAGCCAGCCTGCAGAGGTGCATCGGGAGTTCATCGAGCGCGGTGGCGTAAGTTGGCGGTCACCGATTTCGTCTTACCTTGATGTTAGCCGGTGGTTCCTCGAAAGTGAGCAGCATGTAGCGATCGCCACGACTGGCCGAGTCCCGCTGGCGAATCTAGGGGTATCCGCAAAAAAGAAAACCAGGGCGCGGCGGTGAGCGTACGGCCGATCGGCGCGCAGTCGGTCTTCCTTACCTTGATGAAGCGCTCGACCGCGTCCTTCGCGACGTCCAGCACGGACAGCCTGGCGCCCAAGTAAGTGCGCTGGTTCATCGAGGCGCTCGTGTCCACTAGGAACACGATGATGGTCATGTTGGCGGCAGCTCCGAGCGTCACCCCGGGCAATCCGCTGGCGGAAAAGAGACGCGGAGCCCACTTAGCAGACGCCGCCGACGAAACGACCGGCCCGCTCCGCGTTACAAACTTTACTGGTGGCGTCGGCCGGGCCAACGCCAGGGACTAGACCACGTGACCTCATTTTTATTTACTTTAAAGAGCAACTATGTGTATTCGCGAGAAGTATTGCTCGCAAAGTATTTCGAGCCAAAAAGAATACGCGTAAGCTGTTTGCAACCTCTCAGTATGCTTCTATTCTAGATCCAGAAAACACATTTGCTGCCACACGCCACCGCTAGATATCCCGATTTAGCTTTAGCCGCGACGACAGACCGCTCCAGTACGACTGATCGCCGAGCACCGCAGCACGAAACTCGGTGGTGGTGCGTACAGACGTACGGATAATTCGTCTCCTTCCTATCTGACAATGGCATCCAGAGAGCTTGGAAAAGCTTTCAAGTAGGGAGCCCACAGAACACCTACCAGTATCAAGCCTCTCTAGCACCGGTCTGTGGTGCGAATAGCCGCACGCTGGAGCGTGCGTCGAGAGCCCAGGAAAACGGACTGAACTGTTTTGAGAACACGTGAAGCCTGTTGCAATGAGAAAGAGCTTAGACAACGTTCAGCCATTTCTCAGTTAGCCAGTGAACATCTATAAAAGTATTTTGCGGCGGTAGCGAGCGAATCGAAATTCGTTTAACCTCAAGTTCGGTCAAAGCATTGGCATGCCCATATGGTGCGGATTACACCTCAAACTTTGTGAAAAAACTCGCACCCGAACGCATTTATTGTCTCCGAAACACGTCCTCCGCATGGAAGCTGGGAACGTCTCTCGTATTTTAGTTTGCCGTTGTCGGCTGCAGAGAAATGCTTTCGTTCGAGGGTTGAAGCAGATAGCCGACGAGTTAAATGTGGTGCACAGTTCTCACGTGCTTCTCACCACTAAAAGATAACTTCAATTTCGCAAATACAATGCGCCGATTTTGACGTAAAGCCTTACTGACCTGTAAAATTTTAGGGGGGAGGAGCATAAATCCAAGCTCTGCTCACTGAAATCGCAGATAAAAGCAACGTAGAATATGCTCCGCGTCAAACACAGCAAATCACATCAAAGAATATCATTTGAATGGTGAAATCTTTGATCCCAAGCTATATGCCCGACCAATTGGTTCAACGTAGTGTACTACACTGACACCAGTGCAAAGGAGTTGGAACTGTTTATTGCACCTCACAATAGTTTCGTTTTGTTTGTTTTGCTTTCATAATGGCTCATATGTGCTGTGGTGGTTCAGCATATATTCGTTAAGAAGGCTAGTCAAACTTAATGAGAAACACTTACTAGATTTTTTTTTTTTTGCAAAAAGAACATTACTTAATAGTTTAGCAAGAAAATTGTTCTCTATCGACAAATTCTGCAGACATCTCCATGACAATATCCTGGTGAGGACGGATGCAACTGCCACTTCACCCCGAGAAAGGGGAATCCTGCTTCCTACTAGGCTCCCAAATAAAATGTTTGGAATCCTTCACTCAACACACTGCAGACACCAAAAAAAACCACGACTGTACCTTCTAAAGGTAATGAAGGCCCGATACGTCTGATACGCCGACAATCACTATAACTCTCTTACAATTTCTTTTTAGTTAATGTTACAGCTCGTTTATATTGCATATAACTTTGCACTGCATTGCTGTTGCAAACTGTGAACTTTTACTTGTCTTCATTTTATGTTTTTTTTTTTACTTGAGAAGTTGATCACAGACTACTAAATGATACATTTGCTTGTATTGCCCAACTACACACCGTGGTACTGTTAAGCTCCGTGAATGCTTAAATTTTTTTGGCTGCTCTCACGCAGCCCATATATTGCGAAGGTGCTATAGGTGTTACAGGTGTCCATGGCATTGTCAAGCTACTGAAAGATAGCTTATAGTACATAGTGCTCCTTGGCCATCACGTACAAATTCGATGGTGCAATTTAGCAGCAGCAGCAGGAAAATGAAAAATATCAACGAGTAATAGGCTAACTGACCTTGCACAAGAAGAGAAAAACTGAGCCAAAAAAAAAAGCATGAATTTCTAATTAGAGTAACAATGGTGCATTGGTGATGTTGTAAACATTTTTTATCAATGCATAACTGACTTGGCCCCCCTCAATGGTACATATTCTCTGGCCTCCTCCACTGTGCCCCTTTTGTCTGCTGCCAGTGTGATTATGCAAGAAATGTTTAAATACTTAAGTGCAGACAAACTGGGGTGACTTAATTTCACATATTTCCCTCAGAGGCTCCTCAGTGAGCCATTGCAATGCCTTTGCCACTGAAAAATTTATGACAGCTTCCAGGGAATTTTTAAATTACTTTTTTAATTAACTTTAGCTCTTTCATTGTTTTTTTTTTTTTTTTTTGCTATAGTTTAAAATTAAAGAATTTCGATACCATCTAAGTCTCAGCAAATCCCCCTTGGTGAGTGCGAGGCCTTGGTATAGGGAGAAAAAATACAGCAAACGCTTCATCTCAGTAGTACTTTTCAACGTCTTAATTCTGTTCATCAATATAAGTAGAACAAAGCCTTTGATATTTCCCTACACGAGCAATTTAACTTCAAAGGATGCCTATATAACTACTAGTTTAGTCACTGGCAATGTATGTGCAGCATTTGTTGATTTTGGTTGGCATGTACTGCATACTTGTTAAGGACTGTGAACTGTTGTTAGACTGTAAATTTGTCGATGACAAAACTCTGGCTCGCTGTGGGCATGTTCACTTTTTTTTGAGTGGAAGGCTAGAAATGTTAGTAAATGAGTGATCAAAATACAGCATTGTCTTGCATAAAGAGCGCAATCCTTGTGTGCTAGACTGCTCTACACCAGAATGCCTCAATCACATGGGCTTTATGAATTGGCAGCTTCAATAGAAAAGAGGGGAAGAATTATCAAAAATAGAACATCAATAAATGATCTTGCATAAACAAAACGTAGTAAAATACTTTTTCCCTCTTTCTTCAATGTAACAACATGTCGACAGCAGAAAACTTTTTTCCGGATGCTTGTCAAGCAGGTCAAACTCCAGTCTTGTTTTTCGTATGCCATCAAACTTCCACTGGCAAGTATCACCTGGCCTTTCAAATTAGCATGAAACTGCACTGTCTCCCCTTTTCACAAATGTCAAGGGATGGTAGCAGGGTGTGCTTGTGCTGCAACAGCAACAAAAAACAAGTTCAAAATTTTCAACAAGCACTTATGCTGTTTCTAACAGATTCTGGCCTCTTAGGCACCAGATTCATAAAAGAGATGGGGTTTACTGCCTCAGCTAAGAAGACAAAAAAAAAAACGACAAATAAATGGACTTGTTTCCTAACAAGCATGCATGCTCCATGTATTATAACAAGTCGCTCTGCACATGGAATAATATATACAGTGCTGCATGATGACACCTTTCACTTTGTATTATTCCCCATACTCGCACCGTTTCCGAATGTTTGAGAGCTCATGAGTACCAATGTTAACATAACCTTTTGCTGAAAGCATTGCCACCTAAATGAAGCACAAGCTGCATTTATAGTAATTGTTTGTACAATTCTTGTTATATTTAACTTGTCTCCGACAACTTTTCTGTGACAGTATGAATTAACTAGTATACTAGCAAAATAGTCTTTCACATCAGTGCAACGTCCCCAGCGTTTACTAGTTGCACATATATAAGGTGAGACTGGAAAACGCCTTTCCGTCAGCCAGTTCCCTGCTCAACGTTAGCATTAACCAATTTGCGATATGCCTTAACACATGGGAGCCCCGCCGCAGTGGTCTAGTGGCTAAGGTACTCGGCTG